GTGATGAGCCCTCGAGATCTTGCAAGACAGAGACCTCGTCACCGAAGCGGCCCTGTTTTAGAGGCTTGCGCAGGAAAGTCGATGCGCAAATAATGCTGCTAACAGCGGCATTCGGAGGCCGCGTCCATGTCCGGCAAAGCGTAAACATGCAATCGAACACGCAAAAGCACTGCAAATACATACCGTTGAATGCGGCTCCCTCCCGCATCACGACGTCCTGCGCTCTCCGAGCTCTTCGGGCGGAAAGCGCAATACCTGCCACGGCATCTAATGGCGTACCTGCCAAAAACAAGGCAGTGCCCCCTCCTCCCCCACCCCACCCCAAGCCAGAAAACCAGAAACTATGAAACAACTTTGTCATGCCACACACAAAACCACCAGGCAAACTGCGCAGATGTCTCGCCCTGTAACGGCTCGTTTACGGGTGCCTTTTATTAAACCCTGGAATTCTCAACCCTGTGGTTGCGGTTTTGTTGAATAATCCGGGGATGGGAGGAAAGCCAGGGCAAGGAGCTTAAGGACACTCTGGGTTAATGTAGGGACTTAGTAATTACCTATACTATTTGGGGGGCTCCTTAACTTATTACAATTATAGTATGAGATACCCCCGGAGCTTATTCTAACTATTAAGGCCCATACATTCAGTTCTTGATGGGTTAGGGTGAGAGCTGAAAGAGTGTAGAGCTGCTACTGTAGTAGTATGGGGATAGAGCCGGGATTAAGGCTTAGGATGCTCAGTCCTACATAGCACGCATACAAGGCCTTATGGCATACAGTTCAGGACCTGTCAATTATGGCACTTCTTACACGGATTGTCTGCACCTGTTTTTGACAAAGTCTCCCCAAGTTGAGTCATGTTGAGAATATTAATGAATTAATGTTGAGAATATTAACTCTTACAGCACCGTTAGAGGAACCCTTCTAGCTTCCCCCACGTTCCACACTGGCCAGTTGAAAGACGTCAGTCACGGCTACGGAGATGACCCAAAGTCCGTTGAGTACGATCTCCTGAAGGTTGGGGGGGCGGGGCGGGGGAATGGGGGGAATTACGGTGTAGGTATGCTTAGAGTTTAGGGGTCGGGGGGGTTAGGGTTCAGGAAATCATTGGGAGGGTTTAGGTTCCAAAATTTGGGCTGCGTGAAAAAGGCCCGCTTGTTTTTCCGTAGCATTCAACGCAGAGGACCTGAGTTCGTCGAGGGGCTCCAAGGGTCGAGTACTGGATACAGTACCCGAAGATGGTAGGTTGCTCATATAGCTTGGACCCAACCCCTGATTATGAGAACTACAATGTCATTCTCAAGCTTGTTGTCGAGGGCACAGCCTCTACCCGTTTCTCGTTCATTTAGGATTTCGCGACCCCTAAACGATCTATGGGTTTAGAGAATTTCCTTCACAAGGTTAGCCGTGGGGCGGTAGGTGCAGGGGTGCCCCACAGCACAACCCACAGGACTGGGATGTGTTTCGGCCAATGGCCGTGGTTTGTCTATGGAACTTAGTATAGTAGAGTATGTAACGTTTAGTTTTTTGGCACGGGTACTATAACACTTTACAATCCCAAAGGTTACCCTGCAGTCCCCTGAGATACCTAGCAAGAGAATCAGCTCTCGCTGCGTTGGTGGAGATCGCAGCTCCTATAGGCCGCAAAGTCCTGCTTTACCCGCCACTCCGCAGCCCTCCCGCTCCGGGAGTCTTGAGCCATGATTCTATTTTCTTCCCGCTACATAGCTCCTAAACCCTGCATAAACGCAAGGGTTCAGGGAGTAGACACCTTTAATGTTGAGGTTTGCGCCACACTGCAAACATAAAGCCCCACTAATCCCAAATTCAAAGACACCACAATCCCTGCGGCGCACAGCCCTACAAAGCCCGAAACTGGAGGCAGTCTGTTCCACCTTTGTTGCTTTGCAAGGAAAGCTCAAGCTAAAGGAACTCTTGGACCCGAGCTCTGCTGGTACATGGGAGTTTCCGAAAATAGGGGACCCTAATATGGTACCCTAGATAATAGGATCCTGATTATAAGGACCCCCAAATAAGGTACCCCTATTTTCGGAAACCCCCACATGTTGCCCCGAAAGGATTTCCGCAGTAGCTTTACATGCCAGGGTTTATGGCATTCGACCCCAGAGTTGCAACTGTTCTTTGCTAGACATAACGCGTAAGCTTGTGCGCAATGTATGGGTTTTGCGGCCTTACGGCATGAGATTTCAGGGTCAAGGACTTATGGACTTATAGAGTGTACCTGTGCCCTAAACCCTGAAGCGTGAACCCTAAAACTAAGCCCTAACCCCTATAAACCCCTAAACCTGTTGGGCACCCGGGCGACCTTGCTCCTTGATGCAGAACTGCGACTTCCAGGTCGGGCCGGGACCTTACAGCATCTTAGGGTTTATGATTTAGGGGTTTAGGGTTACGCCTGGTGGTGGTGGTGGTGGTGGTGGTGGTGGTGGTGGTGGTGGTGGTGGTGGTGGTGGTGGTGGTGGTGGTGGTGGTGGTGGTGGTGGTGGTGGTGGTGTGGTGGTGGTGGTGGTGGGGTAGATATAGTAGTAGGTGTATAGTAGTGCAGTCGCAGTTGGTGGTAGCAGCAGCCCAGCCCCAGGGAGGCTGTTCATCACTTCGTTCGGGGTGTAGGGTTCGTGTCCATCTGCCGTAAGCGAGTATTCAAGGCGACTTTGACTCGCGTCCATTTCTTCGGATCAAGCTCCATGTTAGGCTTAGATGCCAGGCTACGGGCCTACTCGCCGAGGGATTGAGGATGTAAGTTTCGGGATTGAGCTTCCGGGCTGTAGCGCTGCAGCATCTATCCTGTGGGTTTTGTTTTATCCCAGGCCGGGCGACAAGATCGGGATTATCGGCGGCAACGGCAGGGGCAAGCATGCGCCCGAGTCTGTGTTCGAGGCTTGTGTGCTACCTGCTTAGGAACGCGCATCCCGACCCTGAAACTATACATGAGCTTACACCATAGTTGATATGACTGCAGACAGCTTTCGAGGCGTCTTCACTTGTAGTCTGGCAGTGGTGTGAGCCCCAAAATACACGTCGAAACTATCCTCCCGAAGCCCCAAAACAGTTCCGAAGCATACCCTGGAGACAGGCATCCCGTCTCTGAACACTTCCAACTTCAAGTTCCACCACCCTCACAGCATCTCGCAGCTGCCACTTTGAGCCAAGCAGCCTCGTATCGCTTGTACCCTGCTTGAAACAACGCGGTTGCCGTCCACAACCCAAGGTCCCAAGCCTCAAGCCTAAAATCCCATTGTGATTGTGATGATAATGCCGCTCCCGGCGATACCACTGTTGCTCTGCTTCTTCTTAGTATTATTCTTATTCTTCTTGTTGCTCGGCACTGCTGAAAACTTCTTCATCCGTGAGTTCTCATGAGGGTAGTGCTGGCCATGCTTGCGATCATAATGGTGATCATGGCAACGATGGCTCAATTGTCCATAGTTGCTGAATTGAATGTTTATCATATCGGTGGTGGGGTTCGCTGATTTCGGACAAGACGTCGACCTCGTTGATGACGGCAATGCGCAGATACTGCTGATGCAAGCCTGAAGCGATGGTCCTGGTGCCGAAGTCGCTGCTTCTTCTGATTGTGCCACTGTCGCTGCTGCTGGTGATGGTCATCGTGCATGTGTAAACAATGCACACGATGGTGATGCTGATGATCATTGTGATATATGACAGTAACGATCACGGTGCGGATGTTGCTGCTGATGAAACTGGTGGTGGCCGCTATGTATTAATGGTGTCACATGGTTGCCGATGGTGACGATGGTTGCCGTACTTGCGGTGATGCGTCTTTCGAAACTGTTATTTTGTGTTGATGGTTTTGGCTTTCACAAACAATCGCTTACCCACATGGACTTAGACCAGTCATTATTTTCCGCCGGTTCCATCCTTCCAGGGATCAGGTTTGAATTGCGGAACGGCCTGTATACTTCAGTTTTCAGGGGGTCGATTTTTGGGGTTTTATATCAGAGCCACATGAGTAAGTGTTGGACTCTTCGGCAATCTCCCACACCCCACGCGTCTCCACACCCTGCAAAACCAGAGGTTTCAGCCGGACATCCTCCCAAACGTTCTCCATCTGGAGACCCTGATAGTGACATGTAGGTATACAGGGCACCGAAGCTATTGGTAAGTTTCTCTTTGGCTATGTATTCGGTTGAGGGTGTGCAGGGTGTAAGGAATGTGACTTTAGGCATTAAAGGGAACTCCAGAAAGTTGGAATATGGAATAATGGCGGATCCCCTATACTTTACCTTAAAGGGATTATGATAATGAATCATTACCATAATCCCTTTAAGGTCTATCATTATTAATGATATTCCAACTTTCTGGCTTCTACTGTAAGTGTTTAGGGATCCGATCCGGGAGCCTGCCCTGAGACCATTCAACCCTAAGCCCGGAACTCGGAACACTGGGTTTAGGGTTTTAGGGTTTAGGGTTTGGGGTTTAGGGTTTTAGGGTTTAGGGTTTAGGGTTTAGGGTTTTAGGGTTTAGGGTTTAGGGTTTGGGGTTTAGGGTTTGGGGTTTAGGGTTTAGGGTTGAGGGTTCACCTTAAACTCCTTGAACCCGGCCTGAAACGCATTGATCTGGCTCAGGGGGGGCCAGACGGGACTAAGGACCCGTGCCTTCTGCTGTATGAGTAGGTGAGTGCCCTGATCCGATTCAAGTGACCATGAAGATGGCAGAGTCGTGCTTGTGGTGGATCTTCTAAGATGTCACATACTCCGAAACCCCACCTCAGCTTGACGTATTTGTACTCTGCGGCACAGCTCGTGATTCGATCCAAAAAGCGTGGTGCCGGCAAGATCGTACCCAGGCAGGCCCTAGATTCCCGACTGACCGACAAGCAGCAACAGACCGCGCATAAAGCCACAACCTACAGCAGTCATCTTCAAGCCCATCCCTCCATGAACTATTCGATAGTTCGGGGCCCGTTCTTAGAAGCTTATCTTGCAGGGCACTGAGAAGCGTTTCATCTCGGCGCTGGGCCCATGGTGTTCCGCGCGAGCACCTCCAGCGTCACATCTTTGCACTCCTACGCGCTGAGCTCGGATCGGGCGTGTGTTGAGGGGTGTTTAGACCATAGGGATGTTACAGGTGCTTAAAAATGCTTCAAATATTGTTCCTTCGGGTTATAGCTATATATAGTATAATATACCCCAAGACCCTATTGTAATCATTGAGGTCCATATCTTACCATGTCTAGGGGGCCCTGCTGTTTCGGATTTGGGGGCTTCAGGGTTTTATGATTTCGGCAGGGGTTCAGAGAGTGGGTTTCAGGGTTGCAGGTGGTGCGATCAGGGTTTAGGATTTGAGGTTTATGTTCTGAGCTGAAGGCCTTTGGGTTTCGAAAGGGGCCTTAATTTTCAGGTGTCTGACCATGGTTGGGCTTTCGGGCGCAAGTCGCAAGTGACGATGGCAAGCCGTCACCCGATTGCTCCAGGTATTTTCGTAACCCCTACGTACTTTGAAACCTAAACGCCCAAATCCTTGCATCCTCGCGAACCCCACACCCCACTGTAAGGTCAAAAGGTCTCCCCGTAATAACAAACTCTGAACCCTAAACCCCAGTTCTACCCAGTTTGCGGGTGTGGCGCTCCAGGGTTCAGCAGACATTATTGGGGTACGTGACTCTCGTACCCTAGACCATATAGGTACATGGACCATTAGGGTTAAGCCAGAATGTATAGGGTTTAGGCATGACATCATTGCCATCGAAAGCAGCATGTCAGAGTTTCGCTGCACATCTTGAGCAAGACAGGGTCGAAGGGGGGGCGTTCAACAAGTGGAAGCTTCCAATTCAGAACTCAGATAAGCGTGCAGGGTTTAGAGTTTTCTACCGCTTTCTGCAACCGCAGCGCGCCGCGTGCCTAAAGCGACTCCCTGAGCTTGAATCGAGGCGCCCCAAGGCCTGAAGTTCGCAGACCAGGGTGTAGGGTTTGGGGGCTTCGCTTTTTTGGTTAGGGTTTTGGGGTTAGGACCAAGCACGAGTTGGATAGAGCTGCAAGCAGCCGAGTTCTGAAAGCCGAAATCCGTTAACGCGACCATCAAAAACCTGAAACTTCATCTTCCCTAAACCAAACCCTCTTTCCTAAACCCTAACCCCTAAACCCCTAAACCGTAAACCCTAACACAGCGAAGCCCGCTGAGTTGGACCCCGAACTTCTTCGGGGCGTCCCCCTCCATGTTTGCCTCAGCGGCTGGGCCAAGCACTTTGGCGGCAAGTTGTTGACTTCTGAATTTCATAATAGGAGTAGTCGTCGTCGTCGTCGCAGTAGCCGTGGTCGTCGTATTTTACTCTTGCTGTTAGTGCTGCCGCTGCTACTATTACTACTGCTGCTAGCTCTACGGGGACAATTTCAACTAACTACTACTATATTTATAGCGCACATTACAAGTACTGCTGTTGCTAGTCGTGGCGTTCTGCTGAGTGGCAGAGGGTTCTGAAGACAAGGTGGAGTTGTGTGGAGTTTACTATTTAGGGTCCAGACCACGCAAGCATACATGAACTGCTCAGACCGTTCATTGGTCCGTTTGAAAGCATTCTGAACCTTCAAGCACTAGTTCGTGACGTTTCGAGTCTCGAAGACCTTTTAGGGTGTAGGGCTGCGTAGGGTCTCCAGGGCTTTGAAGGATGGGACTGTAGGGTCGATAGGTCATACTGTATGGAGCCATCAGTATCAGATTATGTGTAGCAGTGTGGTGATTATGAGAGTACCAACGGCTGGTACTCGGACTGAATGCCATGAGACCGCACCTGACCAGGACTGCACAACTTCGGCTTGAGTCGTTGTTGAGCATGTTGCGTTCGGGGCAGAAAAGGTCATACTCATATAGTGGCCAGTGACTGGCAATGGTGCGAACTACAGCACCCTGCACCCGAAACAGCCTAAACCCTTTACTCGGGATTGACAAGATACTCTGAGTCTCTAATGAAAACTCATGTAAAGCTTAATACCTGTCAAGACTTTTTTCTGGGCCACAAAGGGCTCGGAAGCCTTCATGAACAAGACATGAGCCAGGCACTGGTCTCAAAAGGAGGGAGCCATGTTCGACGTGCCTTGGATGGGTTTAATTGAAACCTAAACCTGAAACCCGCTCACAAAGCTCAAGACTAACCCACGAGCAAGAAAATTGACTAAACTAACCGTGCATTTCATGACATAATGAACCATCATATAGGCAATATATATATATATATATATATATATATATATATATTAATTATATATATATATATACATTATATATATATATATATATATATATACCGGGATACCCTTACTAATCAGCCAGACCTATGCATTAGGACTTTGGGTTGGAGGTTTTAGCAAGGGTGTTTGCAGGGTTCAGAATCCAAATTTCGGGTTTCGAGCAGGGAAGAAATTATGCTTTCTTTTCAGCGGCCGCTTCCAGCGCTGCTTGGCTTTAGGGTTAGGTGGGGTTTTAGGATTTAGGGTCTGAGTGTGGTGTTTACATCCCTCCAGGGTTTTCGGGGCCGCTGGCTCCAAGGCCAAAGCCTTGTAGGTTGCCGGCCTCGTTTTGCATTTAGGTTTTCTAGTAAGATATGAGATGTAAAATATGATAGAATAGTGCATACCAGTCGCTCATACAGTTATATATAAATGTCTATATACAAACATATATATATATACATACATACATATCATGATCATGGCTGAGGGCAACCCCACACGCAGGTGGACGAGCGCAGCTACGCACTCGGGCATCAGATTGAAAGCTACGTCGCTTGATGCAGAGCTTTAGGGGCCGAGATGTTCTTGGCAGTAGTTTTAAACAGGCTCGCAGTAATAGTTGCGTAATTATTGTGGACTGGTGATTGTTTAGATTTTCAGGTCTAGCGAGTGAGCACAGAGCTGTGCTACAAGATATAGATATCGAGACAGCTTGCTGGAGCGTTTCCGGTTTGGTGCTTGTAGGATTCCGAATCAACGGTTGTCAGGTGTTTGTTTCGGGGTTTCAGATTGCGGGTTCTACGCCCTGAACTCTAAACCCTCAACCCTGAACCCGTCTAAGTCCTAATCCTGAGCCCGAGACCGTAATGTCGAAGCATGTGCGGCTCATCTTGCCAAGGTTTGTGTCTGGTTTGCACGGGTTCGGTTTTGGGCATCAACATGAAGTTGTAAGTCTAGGTCAAGGGATGTACGTGATCACTGAATCGTTTGCAGCATCTGATGTGAACGACGCAGCCTGGAGTCAGATATAGTCCTACATGCCCGACTTATATCAATCTTTCTATCTGGTGTAAAACTCAGTGCCTGCATGAAGATCTTGCCTAGGACTAGGCTAAGACTTCTTAAACTTTAAACCCCTGCCACTCCGGTGTGGTCAAACCAGACAGAGAGAGAGAGACACAGAGAGAGAGAGCGCGCGAGAGAGAGAGAGAGAGAGCTATTGTGCACTGGACGGAATCGCATCCGAAGATGTAAGACTGCAAGACTATGAATGGGGTAAATCAACAATGGAAAGCCTATCAGCCCCCTAGGCGCCAAGCCGGCACCCGCCGCACAAAGAAGCCCTGGAATCGGGTCATCCCAAGGATTTCTTTCTCAGCCACGACTGGGCCACCGGCAGGCATCAGCACTTTTTGCGTTGTGCTTGATGCTGCGAGGCGGTTATCTTCATTTGGTCGCTGTGGGATTACAAGTTCAAAGTCTTGAAACCAACATCCCGAAAGCACTAAACAAATAAACAGCATATTCTGAGACTCGTAAGCAGATCATGTGCGTGACCACTTCATCATTGTCCTCCTCAACATCGTTAGCCTTCATGTTCGGTGTACTGGCATCAGCCTTGAAGAAAGCGGCAGCAACAACGGCATAATGTTCATCATCATTATCACAATCACATTCCTCATCTGCATCATCATATTAGCCACCTTTGTCGCATCATCAACACATCAGCGAGAGCAGTAACATTTCATACAATCCAGGCCTTGTACTAATCATTGCTACCTATCGATGCGCCCCGTGCCTCCGCAGCAGGTGGCTGAAGCTGCTGTCGATGATGATTATCTTCAACTCCCGTGCTGTTCCTTGACTTTGGACTTATGCCGAAGCCGTTCTCTATCCGGAGCTTTGTCTAGTAGGCATCCACCCAGGTCTCGTACACACAGCAGCTGCAACCCAGGTGTATGTCTGTAGCACCTTCAGCAGCCACCTAGCCCAGATTCCAGTCAAATTCGCAGTGTTTGTGGGTTAAGTAAAATTATGAAGTGCCTCGGAGTTACGATCTTGCCAGAGCGGTTCAAGACGCAGGATTGATACGTCGCCTGTGGTTCAGGCTTTTGGATACGGGGTTGGGCATCACAGATACTTACTATTATACCCACTGGTATTCTTGAGTGTTCCTCATGAGAACTATGTACTTCTGTATAACCAATAGAACGCAAAGCCTTATTCTAGTTCTTAAGGCGGCACTATTACATGCACCAATCGCCCTCAAATCTAAGTCCTTGCAATCGTGGACGCTGGAACGCCTGCAGCACTGAAGCCTGAATGCCATCCGTAAATCCCTGAACCTCTCCACCTTGAACCCTTCAGCCCTTCCCTTACTATTATTTGCTTAAGAACCCCCCAAAAATAAAAAAAGATCCTTATAGGGATAATATAGGGATTATAATTGTTTATTTTTTGGGTGGGTTCTTAAGCAAATGGTAGCTTAAACTCTGAACCCTTAAGCCCCACACTAAGCCCAAACACTCTGAACTCCATCCCAGAAAGCAAAACCTAAATTCCGACTTTCAACCTCAAGCCCTACCTGGACCTCTCAACTACCTCTTAACATGCCCTAAATACCCACGATTAAAGGCCATTAGGGCTCTATTGAAGGGCCCTTGGGGGTCCTGGTAGACCTGGGGTTGAGGAAGCCTTCAAGACGAGTGTCCCGAATGAAAGGGTTTAGGACTTCATGGAAATATTGAACAATTAGTCAGTAGAACATATAACGAAAAGTGTTAATATATATAACAATACTAATAAAAGTATGATATAAGTAAGTGCATCCCCTCATGATAGTATATTCCCAAACCCATTCTAATTGATTCGGCCTCTGGTATTATACGATGTAAGTGCTTTGGGTATTAGGGTTATCAAGGGGGTCGTTGATCCTGTGACCAGGCTTCAATTCGGAGCCGGTGCCGCTTGGGGTTTAGGCATAGAATTTAGGGTTTGGAATTTAGACTTTAGGATTTGGGATTGGGGGCTTGGGGTTTTGGGTTCGCCCCTTTAGACCCCAACCTCCAAAGCCAGACAGCAAATGCTACGCGGTTGTAAATGTCGACTGTCTTTCCCTATCTGGCTCAGTTTCGGAGACGGATAAGCAGCAGAGCAGAGGCGATTCAGCTCGCCCCAAAGCCCTCAACCGTGTGGCTTAAGGGGTCTGGTCGAGCCTTTCAAAACCTTCGAAATGAAATACCGCAGACGGCCTTTTGAGGCAGCAGTCGCATCCTTGGTGACAAGCATTGTCGTTGGAGCTCTCCGCATGACGGAAGTGATTCCTGACGAGATGTGGACAGAAGCTTGGTCGATATTGTTAGCCGAAATTCTGAACCCGCCTAAGCCCTAACACATTTAAGTTGAGGGTTCCTGTTACCACAACCCCCCCCCGGATGGGATGTTATGCTCCGCCAGACGTGCAGAGCCTGAGCTCCACAACCAATCTTGAATCATAACACCCCTCCAGATCTTCCGGGCTCGAAACTTGTAAAAGGCAAAGCCTGTGAACCAATGTAGCAGTGACTCGGCGTCGTCGTCATCATCCTACTGGCCGTTGTCGTCGTCTCGCTACACGTAATATTCGTAGCATGCAGCAGCAGATGTTGCAAAATTGCAATAGTAGCATTTGCGAGCACGAAAACGAGCGCTTTTGCAAGGACGGCCACCAGTGGCAGCAGTAGTAGTAGTAGTAGTAGCAGCACTACTACTACTACTACTACTACTACTACTACTACTACTACTACTACTACTACTACTACTACTACTACTGCTACTGCTACTGCTACTGCTACTGCTATCGCTACTGCTACTACTCCTCGACGACGCCGATTACCCTTTAGCCCGAAGCTCAAATGAGTACCCGATTGCCCGAGGCCGTGAGACCCCGGCTCCCACATCTCTCAACAGTTCCGACGCCGTGAGGTCATTTTCGGATATGCGGCGTTTTTGCTGTTCCTTTGCTTCTGGCAGCGTATCCGCCTGGTCATCTTCAAGCCCTTAGTAGCCCCTTGAAGCAGTAGTTCGCAAAGAGGGCTGGGCTGCCGGCCTTGCGGGAGGGGGTGGGGGACTCTTGGGGGGGTTTAGAAATTATTGGTTTGCGCTGTTGGCGATTTAGGTGCCCAGGGTAGAGTTTTAAGGTTCAGGGTTCTGTGGGGTTTGACGTTTAGTGTAATTAGCGTTTAAGCGGTGGGGTGAAGTTGCTTTTGTTTTTTCGGACGATTGGGTCCTTGCCTGCCAAGCAAAAGGTTACGGAAAGGTGTTTTAACCGTTCGTGGTGAACCTGAAACCAACCGTGGAATCCCAAGAGATCTAGACCTTTTGTACGGTAATGGCCCATCCCGCGTAGATAATGCTTCTAGAGAAGTCACCGAACGCGCAAAATTAGGTTTTCGTGGACAAGCTGTGCATCGCACAGCATGACGACGAGCTCAAGGACAGCTTGCGGTTGTTCTGTGTAGCGTTTCGTTGTGAGTTGTTAGTTTCATGGTTTCGGGCTACGGGTTCTCACTAAGTTTACTTCACACATCCCTTAGCCTGAAATTCTAGCCTCTTGTTCTAGACGCCAGCTCCAGCATTCTTACTTACCTTTGGTTAGTAGGGAAGGGAAGAATGGTAGTAATGGAAGTTATAATTGTACCCCATTCCCCCATTCCCTACTAACCAAAGGTAAGCTCATGGACCGGCGGAGCTTCAGGCGACAGTAAGCGTCGAGCAGCATCAGGCTTTTGCTGCCCTTTCTGAGAACTCCAGGAGGGACATGGGTGATTGTCAAAGTTATGGTCCCTTTTTGGATACCCTAAATATTAGGTGCCGTATTATCATAAGGACCCAAAGGGACCCTAATTTTGATAACCACCCACATGGTAGAAGTTTGAACGATTAGACAACACATCCCCGTATAGTTCATGTAGCGGTTCATTTGCACCCAGTTCTAAGTGTGCGAGCTTCCCTACCAAAGGGCTACGCAGGAATGTAGCTCATACTGTCTATGGGTTTAGGTGGGTTGAGGATTTATCGTTTAGGGCATGGCCATCACATGAAGATGGCCGTGTTCTCTCGAGTCGTTTGTTCGCATGGACTTTGAGTGAAGCCTGGTGCCTTACACCCTTAAGCCAACCCTGCAAATATTGATCCTAACTCGCAATCCCTAGCGCCAAGGCTCCAAAACCATAAAATCAACAGACTTGCTCTTGAAGCTCTGTAGTTTTCAGGGCTTTAATCCTTCTCTGTCACTAGAGGTGTTTCGGGTTCAGCGTGTTTCGATTAGCCCACCAATGCACGAGCAGGCCGACAGTGACCACCAATGACAACTTGAACCCCTAAATCCCTGAACATTTCAAAACCGTCCCTAAACCCTTCAAAGCACCTTCCAAGACTCCCGAAGATCCGAAGAAGCCCCTCCTAGACCCAAAGCCAGCCACTGACGCCTTAAGGCCGCAGCACTTCCCGCGTAAGTTCCCTGTATCCCCCGAGGTTAACGCCTTTTACAACCCTTGCACGTTCCCCAAGCCCTGTACCCAGAAACCATAACCCGGATTCTCCCCAAGGCCAGTAAAGTCTTAAAGCCTTACAGCCCTAGACCCCAGAGCCCTCGAAATCCGTGTTTGCAAGCTACCCATGCCATCCCCTAAGCCAACATCAAAACCTAAAGAAACCCTTGTAAGGCCCTATGACATGTTTGCGAACAATTCTAAACCCTCAAGCCTAGACATATCATACTACAATTATGTAAAGATCCATGCATGTATTTTGTAAGCGTATTCTGAGGGACTAGAGGGTACCGGTAGCTGCTTAAACCCTAAACCCAAACTATAACCTTAAATCCTTAAACCCTATGCCTCAACTCCTTAAACCCTAAACCCTTAAACCTCAAATCCTGAAACCTCCAGCCCTGAATCCTCAAATCCTGAAACCCTCAGCCCTTAAGCTTCGAATCCTTAAACCTCACGCCCGCTCCACACCCGGGCGCATAAGTTGAAAGGAGAAAGGCATCCTTGGACTCGCCGGCTTCGTGGACCACTCAAAGAAGCCGCCAAGCTTTGGGGCTTAGGGTTTTGTGGTACTTTGGGCTTAATGAAGGGCTTAGGGGTTTATAGGGCTGAGGGGTTTACAGTAGAAGCCCAAAAGTTGGAAACCCAATAGCCTAAGTCCTGAAGAGTAATGTATAGGGAATCCCAGCACTATTTGGCCTTAATCTGGTTTCCAACTTTATGGGGTTTGCTGTATAGGGTTTAGGGGTTTAGGGTTTAGGGTTCAGGGCTCGTATTCCGACCTTCTGGGTTATGGGCTGCCATGTTTGTAGAGTAGGCGTTCATCCCATCATGAGTTTCAAAGTTTGGACCCTCACTTGGGGCTGGGGTTTGGAGTTTTCGGTTTTGGGTTTAGGCTTCAGGGTGCAGGATTTAGGGTTCCGGGTTGGGGTTTAAACGGTTTCGATGCTCAGGACGTTGGGTTTGGTGTAGGGGACGCCAGATACAAGACGGGTTACTACAAGTGCTACTGCACGGGTTCTACATATACATGTAACTATCCGTTTGTGTGTGTGTGTGTGCGCCTATGTGTATATATATATATATATATATATATATATATATATATTTATATATATACATATATATATATATATATATATGTAGAGGGAAGGTAAGGGTTTGCAGGGTTGCGGAGTGCAGGGTTCAAGGCCTCTTGGGCTTTAGGGTTCAACGGTTTGAGGTTTAAGGCTCTTCTTTCCAGGATGCTGTAACGTACTCTCAGTTAAAGCTTGTATGGGGTACCATGCCAGCAGGTTACAGGTCATGCACATAGTTTTCGGCTACAGGGGTTCTATATAGCTTCCGGGTTCTAGCGTCTTATAGTTTACGGTTATGAGGTTTAGTGCTTTCAGGGATTAGGGTTTGGTTTCAGGCTTAAGGATTCGAGTTTTGTTGTAGCAGGCTAGGGCGCAAACAGCACTGGCACTGTTTTAATGAAGGGTTTGTTTCATTTATAGGATGCTATACAGACTCCTGAAGTTTTTCGGATGCCGAGTTTAGTGTCGTCTAGGGTTTTGAGGGAAGGTCTTTATATCGAAGCCCTGTACCCAAACCCGAAACCCCTGACAACTTTGACTTATGGTATGGAGCTGAAGCCACGACTCTGCCAACTCCCGCCGTGAGTGAAGACGAGGGTAGTGGGGCGTTTGGGCGCACTTCCCTGCGTTCATCGCGAAACTCCGAACCGCGAATCCCGGGATCGGACACCCGTCATTTTCAATACCAGCCTGGTAGAAAGCCTCCTAAAGAACGGCCAACTCGCAACAATCAAGAAAGTCGTAGAGAATGCAGGTTGACGATCCTCTGGTCACCGCGCTACTTTAGCCGCCGCTTGGAAGCAAGAGAAGGGCAAGTCGTCCGATGCCTGTGATCTTAGAGCCTGTACATGGATGTCGGAATTTTGGGGTGCTGGGTGGCCGAGCATACGATTGCCGTGCTGTTGGGGGTCGGTTTGGACTTTAGGGCTTTGTTTAGGCATTGCTGTGTTTTTGTTTGGATCCTTGTCGTTTTTTTGTCCAGCTTGGGTCCTGAAGCTCGACCATGCCAATGTCAGGATCATGGGGAAGGTTGTTCTGCTGCCATCGACAGCACTGTAGGCACGAAGTCAGTAGTATGGAAGCTTGAATAAAAAGTACTACTATATCTTCCGGGTTCCTGATCAGACTTAGCAACACTGTTCTGTTCTAACCATTCAGAGCTCCGATATTAGTAATTAGGATTTCTGTGGCCGGGAATTCCTTTACCGGACCCGACCAAAGGACACTCGTCAAAGGACTTGAAATTCACACATCTCATCGCCGACAGACCTTGCTCTACAAACAAACCCCATATCCCGTCAGGTTGTCTCCAACCCTACTAATATAGGGGCTTTCATATTCTAATTGTTAAGGCCCCTATTTTATATATGGGTCTACGGTGTAGGCAGCTGTTGGGTGGTTCCCGGCTTGGACCGTTCGTCTGCCGCCGCCGAGCGGTATGCGCTTCTCGTAATTGCTCATGCGGCTCACATACTGGGCGCTCCGGTTTGTGTTTTGACTGACAACTCTGCCCTGGTTGAGGGCTTCAACTCTGCCAGGTCGCATGCTGATTTCGGCGCCTTTTGGGCCATGATTCACAATCTTTTGCCTGAAGGCTCCTCTGTGCATTGGGTGCCGGCGCATGGCCGACACGAGGAATGGACCTCTCGGGTGCCTCATGTGTCCACTCGACAGGCGCGCGACCTCAATGATCGCGCCGACAAGGCGGCGGTGGCCGCTACGACCCCTGCGAAGCCTGCGTTTGATGCAGCCATGGGCGAATGTCGCAACGCAGCCGATTGGGCTGAACTTGCTGTGCGTCGCCAAGCGAGACTCACTCATGACTGGCATGATGCTGTTGCCACCCAGTCCCGCGTGAGTGCTCGCATGCGAGAAGTGTAATCGTCTTGACCGGCTGTTATCCCACCTTCGGGGCAGGGTGCAGTCACGCAAATTCCATTCCATTTCAAGAGACATCTTGAGGCCTCTGGTGCACCTACGAAATCGCAGCCTTCCTGCGAGACCAGGCTCGGGAGATTTCGTCTAAGCCTAATCCCGATTCCGAGTGCATGTGGGAGACTGTAACACAGTGCAGACATTACAGTACAGTATACCTGCAAACCCCATTCCAATTCTTCTGGCCCCAGTGTTAAATTTGAGTGGTTTTGGCTTGAATGGTGTGTGTGTGGGGCTCAAGGTATAATGGCAACACCAGAGAAGCATGACCCTCAAGAGTTGCATGAACATCGAAAGCATCACCACCATCACCACAGGCGGCCCCATCGAGATATATTTTTCAGCGCATTCGCTACACTCCTTTCCTTCATTCAATGACCTGAAGTTTGTGGCTGGGGCGTGGAGGGGTTTGGGTCTGACACGTAGAGCCTCCACCTCGGCAAACCTTGGACATAGTACGAGCGCAACACTGACATCACTCATGTAGACCTGAACCGCCTTGAAGCTGTCATGCTGGAACAGGGCTTTCCCCTCACCCTTGCTTGCGCATGCATATATAAATAATTGTATATATACGTAGATACGTACATATATACATACATATATATATATATATATATACACACACACAAGAGCCAGAAAGCCGCAAGCCTGATCAGCCGCCAGGTAACCGATGAGAAGCCTTTGCAGGTGATGCCGGTGAAAATGTCCGTGATCCTGTTCCTCCTGCCCCTGAATAGCAACCAGTTCAGGGTCTTGGGGTTTTAAGCTTTTTGGGGGGGGGGGGGGGGGGTGGGTGGGTGAAGCGTTCGTGTAAAATGCTTGGGCCTGCTTGAGGCTTTAGAATTTCTATAGGTGCGAAGTATACCCGTCATCTAGCGCTTAGGGCTTGCAGGTGGGGTGTAAGTTGAGAAGTTCTTGCACAGCCCTCCAAAAACACTCAAAAAAAGGCAAGGGTCGCTAGTTCAGGGTTCAGGATTCACCACTCATCCGGCATCGTTAGAGCCGAACCCTATACCCAGGGACCAACAAGGCACATCGCAGGGTTGCGGGTCTTTGAGGCTTTCAGGGGTTTACGGATACAGTGTCTGGATGGATAATGCCTTTTAAACGACATGTTTAGGTGCTTTATGCTTATGTCTCCTGCGCTATGACTCCATGTCTGTGGCCTTGCCTCTTTGCCTGCCGACCTGGCGACTCCTCGCTCAAGCCATTGAAAACCTTTAACCTTTAACCTTTTAGGCTTATTATAATCCTACCATAATCGACAAGGTTTAAAACAAACTTGGGCTAGGGTACTCAGCCCCTAAGAGAAAGAAACCTGGTCGGAATGGTCGGCATATTGGTAGTTCTCTACATCAGGGTCTCCTTCGAGGTCCTTCCTACAAGAGTGACGGCCTTCTTGGGCGGATCTAAAACTTAAGGGACCCCCATTTAGAGAGAACCTCTTCCCGTATTATCAGGGAGCCGAAAACTCTAAACACTGAAGCGCCGAACCCTGGAGCTGCGAGAAGTGGCCCTGAACTCACAGGTCTTTCTGTTGGCATATTCTGACCATCTGCTTCTACGTCCTGGAATATGTGACCGACGACGCTCGGCTGCATGCCCGGGGACTTGTAAGTCGTCACCCCGGAACCTGGCTTGCGGTTTAGGGGTTCAGGGTGTACTACAGGGACATAAATAATTACCAATACTATCTTGGGTGGGTTCCTCATTATACCTAAAGTATAACATACCCCAAAACACCATTCCAACTATCAAGAGCCCTAGAGCAGGGTTCCCTGAGTGTGGAGGGCAGGGCGAAGCCCCAAGGTCCCACCAAGGTCCCTTATAATTTGGGCTTAGGCTTCAGGGGTTTGGGGTTTCGGGTGGGACCTAAAGTCCCCTCCAAGACAGGCCAAAACCCTAAATCTAAATGGGTGGTTGTCAAAATTATGGCACCTTTTTGGGTACCCTAAATATTAGGTGCCGTATTATAATAAGGACCCCAAAAAAACCCTAATTTTGACAACCACCCAAATCCTGGGCGAGGATGACACGGGCATGCTCGATGAGATTCTGGTTGGCGCCTTTGTCGCGGCACCTTTGGCCGGGATGTAGTAAAGGGGTTCTGGGGCATAGGGGTTCAGCGGTTTAGGGTGTAGGCTTAGAGCTTTTGGTGTTGTGAGTCTTGATGTCCCTTGGGAACTTGTTCAGCCTTGCTAGAGTAATAGGCCAAAGGGTAATTCAGGGTTTCGAGATCATATCGGTTTCGGGTGTAGGGGCCAAGGATTAGGATGACATCTTGGCGGTGTTCAGCCTGGCCTAGGTGGTTTGCAGCTTCGAGGTGTCTCGTCAACCTTGCTGCTCATAGTTATAAGTGATCAGGCACATTCTAGTCCGAGATTAGAATTTCGAGTCCAGGGTTTGCGGTTTAGGCTTTGAACTGATGGATTTGACGACTTGTCCAATTGTGCAGAGTGGGGATTCGTTTGCATGAGAGATGGAGTCCCCTTTCAATGTCATTGGAACTCCTTAGACCTGAACGCTACACCCCAGTCCATCATTCCCAACCCCCCTACCCTGAAGCCTTTACCCCCCTAAACCCCAAGCCATCGTTCCTAGCCTTAGACCCTAAAAGCCTACACCCCCCCCCCCCCCAAAGCCTGAAGCCTAAGCCCTAGCCCTAATCAGAAAATCGTCTACTTCTCAGGCTTTTCTGATGCTCACCATGCCCATTGTCTGCTACATCGGTATCGGCCTCATGAAAGACATCCAGGAGAGCAGCCGATCGCCAAACCCCGACCTTCGAAACACCAACTTCTCTAAGGTTTGTGGTATAGGTATTGGGTTTAGGGTCTGTAGCGTGCAGAACTTAGGGTTTGGGGTAATTATAAGGTTCCGCAAATACAGAAATCCGTAAGGCGCTCAACCCTGTAGGCCTCTGAACATGCGAAACTAAGGAATCCCAAGGTAGTTTCCGCGGGCCCCTGAAAAAATGAAATCAGTGGTATTGATGTAGTGCCGACTCGTCATTGAGAGCTCATTGGGTTCCCTTCTTCAGGAGCTTCACCAGCATTTTCATCAGGCACATACGCAGTAAATCATGTCTTGTATACCCCTCATACTTTTCATGGCGATGAAACCTGAAACCCAGCCAGGGGCTGAAGGTCCCTAAACCCTAAACCCTAAGCCCTAAACCCTAGATGTGAAATTCAGATTCAAAGCTCCTTCGTTCGATTGTTTCGAGGCCCGGCCTCGGGTTCAAAGAGGGGACGACTCGGGACCCTGAGCCTCGAGCCCGAGACCGAAAACCCTGCACCTAAAACTGTCTCATGCTTAGTCGGGAATTGGGGGAATGGATCCCCTATACTAGGGTTTCTGGGGTTCCTTGTTGTAGTTATAATGGTATAATATACCCTCAAACCCTATTCTAATTACTAAGCCGCTACATTAAACCCCTACACCCTAAATCCGAGTTTGTCTCAGCAGGAGCTTCCCAATCAGCTGAAGACTTTTCGCGTGCAGGAATCCAAATGCTTCTGCTGCTGCTCGGTCAGCTTTGGGAGCGCAGAGTTTTAGGGTGTAGGGATCGAGGGTTTTAGGGTTTAGGGTGAAGCTCTCCAACTATAAGGTAGACTCCTAAACCAAGCTCTGTAACAGGGATCCAACCATTTGTTAAGTCAAGCTCGGCAACCGGGATCCTACTCATATTCTGGGCCCGTAAATGATAGGGTGTACCAGCCAGGGGTCTACAATATCCAATGTGAGCCCAAACCCGAACTTTGGGTTTTTTGGGGGGGTTGTCGTCTGGGTTTAGGGTTTCTATCTCCAGTGCGGTGGGTTAGATTTCTGCGGCTCAGCATCTTGTCGTTGAGGTATGCAGGCCTTTGTTATTTGCATTGACTTTCGTGTTGGAGTACTGACATTGGGGGCTGCGTGTCGGGGATGTGGGCATGTACCCTGTAATATATACTATAGTGTATAAACCTACTCAGGTTTCGCGTTCACAGATCGCTTTGGCCGCACCTGCATTGAAAAGCTCCCCTTTCTTTACAGGCCCTCCGAAACCGCGCAGCACTAACAGTCCACAAGCACCGAAATCCCCAGTATCCCAATCGCGCATTTCAGACTTCTCTTCCTACCTAAGTACTGAAAGACCCGCCAACCCTCCTATTTTTGTTATGCCGCGAGGCCTTGTCGAAAAGACCTCAACATACCCCTAAACCCTAAAGCCCTGAACCCTAATATGGGGGCCATAATAATTACCTGTACTATTTTGAGGGGTCCTTTTTGTAATTATAGTATAAAGGGCCCCAAGACCCAGTTCTAATTTCTAAGGCCCCTATATTATAGTACCCTTATAGATCCCTTATAGTAACCCTGTAAGGACCCCTGAAAAGGAACCCTGTTTATTGAGGCCCCCACAATGGAACTCCCCTCCAGGTTCACACAACCACGTTCACCCTGAGACCGGCAGAAGGACCGCGCAGCGCGTTGCAACAGAGATGCCTCAAGTTTCAACCCAGACCCCATGGGTTCCCTTAAGGGTTCCTTTAAAGGGTTTTAGGGTTCCTTCAAGGGGTTCAGTGTTCCTTCAAGGGTTCCTAAACCCTAAATCCAAACCCTTGACTTGAACCTCTAAGCTCCACCCCTTCACTGGCAAACCCGAGCCTCCACACCCACCAGGCCTGGAAGTCTGGACGCAGACGGGATGCAGGTTCTTGAATAGCCCTTGCTTTTGGAGTTTAAGCTTGTAGGAGCTCTCTCTCTCTCTCCCCTCTCTCTCTCTCTCTCTCTCTCTCTCTCTCTCTCTCTCTCTCTCTCTCTCTCTCTCTCTATATTTTTTTTTTGGACACGGCAGGGACCTTAAACAATCAAAGCGTGCTTGCTTGCTTTCGCTATGCATCAAATAAGACCCGCCGAGACAATTCGGCCATCGGCAGTTTACGTAAAACCTAGGCCCTTACGTAATCATCCTAAACCGTAAACCCTTAGGACCTAACCATGTATGCTAAACCCCAAATGTACAGTAGTCCTTGCAGTCAACCCTACTCCCTACCCTACACCCTCATGCACAAGCCCCAAACCCTAAATACCCTAAGTCCATTATCCCTTAGCCCTATACTACCCTTGAACCGAAACCTTTTAAGCCCCAAACCCTATAAACCCTAAACCCTCGCCCTATAAACCCTATAAGCCCCCCTCAGCCAGGATCATTTGCGACCGACAGCTTGTCTTCAAGACCTTGAAGCGCTGGTTCGGAGCAGAAGGCGCCTAAGGGTTCCTTAAAGGTTTCCTTTTGAAGGGCTCCTTTAAGGGCTTTAGGGTTATGTATTCAGAAAGCCTGCTGAGGCTTGTGCACGTGTGTCTTCCGGATTTGTTGGGATGGGTTGGGTTTAGGCTACGTAGCCGGATTGGGCTGTTTCAGTCCAGAGCTCAATAATGATCCACGACCTGGCGAAGTTTGGAGCCAATGCGACCTATCTCCCTAAACTCTTCCCTGCTTGCACCCCAGGTTTTAGCGATGGGAAGCCGAGCATGGCATGTCGACTTCGATGGCAGTCTTCGCTTTGCAATCGCAGGAGTAGACAGACTGCTTTGTGCATAATGCATCTCGGGTATGCTAAAATCTGCGTTTGGCATGTATACCCTACATCTTGAACCCAAAGCCGAGCGGCTGCGCTGCACTAAAACCCTGAGAACACACCAACCACCCTGAGGCACGCTTTTCATCCGAAGCCTTAAATTGCAGACCCCAAATATTTGGCTACTAGTTACTAGTTGTCAGCAAAAGAACCGCATGAAGCGCAGTGAAACCTGCAAGATCCCAGACAGTCCCAGACCCTCCTGAGAAACTTCCTCCGCAGTAATTATGCCACACAGACGAAAGTAGGTAAATGCTTACCACCTATTGAATCTTTGGGTTCTACCGTTGTAAAAGTTTAACCTTATCAAACCCTTTCACAAGCCCTGCTTAAATGACCTATTAAACTTCGTTGCCGTTCTTGCAGAACCCTTACAAATACATGGGAGACCGTAAACGAAACGGCTTTCTTCTGCCAACCCTTATACAAACCCTAAAGAATCGGGCTTTCTTCAGGCAACACGCTTGCCCATCTGACGCTTCCGTCCTGCGGCAGCCGCTCGGTGATCGAAATTGGGTTGGACTAAGTGGTTTTTGGCGAGCCCAATAACCCTTCATTCAGCTTCTCCCGTGGGGGGAAGTTGGTAAAAAGGTCCAGTTGCTGAAGCACCTCGTGTTGGCAACCTATCTTCTTGTGTTCTCAGGCACAGGCTGTCAGGATTTGGTGCTGAAGGTCTGATGGTTTACAATGTTGTTGAGGATTTGTGTTTTGGTGTTTGCGGTTTGCAGTGCAAGGGTTGCAGATTGCCGTGTGGGCATCGTGCCCAAATTGTGGTATTTGAGAATTCTGCCCTGCTCAATATTGAGGACACCATCCCTGAACCCTAAGTCTTTGTAGCCCTTAAGCCCTGAACCCCCATACCGTCCTGCCACCCGAGCAGCAAAAGCCATGCGAAACCCTTGGAACCGTTTAAAGCCACAGCAAGGGCACATGATCCCATGTGGGTTAAAGTAGGGGGTAGGGTTTTGGTTTCGGGTTCCCATGCGCATGAGAGGAAACGAAGAGCAGCACTTGGACGCCTTCAACTTCCTCGTGCAGAGCGACCTCGCCCAGACAGCGCCTCCAACGTGAGAGGGCAAGCCGTAAGCCCGGTACCCTAAACCGCAGCCCTAGAAGGGTTGGATTTCGGGGTTGCTTTCTGTTGGCCAGTGTGGATTGGAATCGGGTTTCGGCTCACACCTCTGTCGAGGGCTGGCTTTCTCGTGGAATCGTCTTGATGTTGGCGCCGCATTCTGCGTGAGAGGCAGAGCTGGGGGTGCTGTTTGCATTGTGCTCCAGATTTCATTCCATAGATCTGCGACTGTATAATTTATAGGCACGTAGAGTTCCATAATTCCGTCAGATGCATGAAACAAAGTCGAAATTACAAGACATGCTAGAGCACAGTGCTGCAAGCTCGAGAATCAAGCGCTCCTTAGCCTTCTTGCACAGCTCCCAGTCTTTAAGACCCACGAGAGGCCTTGCACCCAAGGTCTAAAGCCCTCAATCCTAGACGATCGCTGCTGCACCCCTGTTATTTTGTCGAACAAAGTGCCTCAGCCGGCGCAGGGAGCTATCTGGACAGCGAAGCTACAAGCCCAATTACTTCCGTTCAGATCGTTCCGAGGATTTTTGTTTAGATGCTACAACACTCGTAAAGACTGAAGCGAAGGACCTCAACAAACCCTCGACTGGAAGTGGTGAGCCGGAGCCATCGGGCTAGACTCCGGAATCCCTCATATAGGGCTTGAACGATTATGCAAGTACTATCATACACTGTGTCTTAGGGTTACTTATTGACTCGATGCTCCCATGAACGCAACCCCGTTCGATTTCTTAAGGATCCTAGGTGTATTCGTGTCCCTACATTGATTGTGGGGTCTATCTAGGCTCCTTAACAGAAACCGCTGGCCCTTGCCTCAAAGCTCAGTCAGCCCCAGGTGCTGAAGAGCGTGGGTGGAGATACCTTGCCCTTTAGCTATGCCGTCTACATGGTGAGCATTTGCTCCTGGGATTTGTCAAGTTTTGGGTACGTATCAAGCACCCCAAACCCTAAACTGTATAGGGAATCGTATGCGTGTTCTTTACAGTTTCGGCCTAAAAAAGCGAAGTGCCTTGAAGCAAGCCCCACACTTCAGAAACCAAGCCCTGAGCTGTAATTTACGTTCTGAGCGATGCCCCTCTCGTCAACTAACGTAATCCTAAGCCGGAGCGCTATAAACTTGACACGAAACTTTCAAGGCTTAGCCACGCAGTCGGAGTGGAGCCTTCCCCAAAAAGCGCAGAACATGTTTCCCAAAGCAGGCAATGTGCCATTTCTTGCGCAGTACATGGCCTCCTGGAAGGCGGATCCTCTGCCGCACATGGGTGTTTACTAAAGTTTGTGGTTCCTTGGTTAGGAGTTCTTACGATGAGGATCCCATCTGAAAAGAGCCGCTCTTAGGGGTTCCTCATGATTTTCTGAAGCCATAGCGAAGGGCACCGGGTGTGAGGCCCCAGTGCTGCCCCCAGGTGCTTTTGCAAGCACGATGTGATATGCAGTGACTCAGAGTGGCCATGCAGTGCTGCTTTTCCAAGGTGCCTCTTTTCGATACCAGGATCCCTGATACCAAGGAGACACAATGCCAGTGGGTCCAGCTTGTGTCTTTCAAGTTCACTTGTCTTCAAGTTTCAGAAGCTTAGTGCCCCGAAACTTGTATGCCACGATCTCAGGTTGAGAGTGGCAAGCATGCTCGGGCTCAAGCCCTGAACTGTCGGAGCACTGAAGCACCAAGACCACAAGAGCCTACCGAATTTCAAGTATGAATGAACGCGTAAAAACCATAGACCGTACATCTCGAAGCCCTAACTGCGAGGCCAGTAAACCTCTAAGTCCCCTAAATCCTACACATGCGCCTATGACTAGCCCCAGGAACATGGGGCCTACACGAGCTTAGAGCTCGCCGGCTGGACGTTGAGGAAGTTTATGGATTGGGCCACCTTGTCCCTGGTAGCTTGTCTGCCTGAAGGGCTGCGGCTCATGCAGCTTTAGGCTACAGTATGGTTTGAGGTTTGGAGTGTCAAGTAGATGGTTCAGATTCTGGGTCTCAGGTTCAGTGTTTGAGGTAGAATCGTTTGCAGTTGTCCTGACCCTCTTGTCCAAGGTTGTGTGGTTTCGCAGGCTTTTGGAAAGTTCTTCTTAGTTTACATGTTCCAGGCACTACCGTCGGAACAGATATCTGGAACATGATTTAAGGATGACGCGTGCCGAAATTCCCACGACCTCCATTCAATACGAAAGCCAGGAAGTTGGATCTCATGATCCAAACGTGTCGATGATACTCCGACATCATGGAGAGTTCCAGCAATACTTATCCGTAGCCCTCGTTCCAACTTTCAGGAGGTCACCACAAGAGTAGTATAGTGGCCTTATAATAATTAGACTAGGGTTTTGGGGCGCATTATACTATAATTATGAAAAAGGAACCCCAAAATAGCATTGGTAATTTAGGCCCCTATAGTATGAGGCTCATTACCTCCTCCCCTTGCTTAGCGTCTACTGAATAGAACTGTAGGCTGATCAGCTTCAGCGCTGATTCGGTCAAGGTCTTCAGAAAAGTCAGGGCTACCTGCTGTTGGGGCCCTTATAGCAAGGACCCTTGCTCGGGGTTTTTCCTTGCTTTAGCTCTTGATATTCTGGTTCTTTCATATGGGTTTCCAGGAAATGGGTATTGAAAGAGGAGTTTTGTGAGTGGAAGTGACTGCCTCGAGGTTTGGGATCAAGATTGATCCGGCATTTGGTGTTCCTGGTTTGAGATATATAGAGCTCCAAGCCAAGCTTTCAGCTCCTGACGGCAAGCTGAAAGGTGATGCTGTGCTCCCTCCGCTTCTGCATGTTCTTGTGGCTTGGTGCAGTACAGAGTCCGTCAGGAGGTGAGGCAGCCGGACAAGTGCTGGATTGTTTGGGCATATTCGCCCTTTCCTATGAAGATCCATCGCACAGTGGCGTAGTCGAGCCGTTCAACCCATGCTATACGGCGTATGTCTAAATTGAGCGTCTTTGAACCTCTGATGAAGATTTAAGCTTCCGGACGGCCGAGGGGTAGGGAAGCCGAGCCTTGTTGCACTTCGTGCTTAGGGGCTCAAGATTTGACTCTCCCCTTCAGATCCTCCAACATGTGGAAACCGCTGGCAGCAAAAAGTTGGCCTCGGTTCTAGAAGCTAAGGTAGAGGCCTTAATTAATTTCTATACTATTTTGGGGGGTTCCTTATCATAAGTATAGTAAAATATATCCCAAAACCCCATTCTATTTGTTAAGGCCCCTATAGTATCAGTCGACATGTTGGTATTGAAGTTATCAGCCTGAGGCGTACTTAGGCCAGCCCAAAACTGCTTGAGGGCACCTAGCTTTGCTTTTCTGCTTCTGCACGTGAGCATGGCCATGTTTGGTACAGTACCCAGAGGCCCCATAGTAGTTCCTTTTTTGGGATTACCCTATAGGATTCTATTTATGAACCCGCAAAAGGGGCTACTTTGGGACCTTTCGGTAGTCATTAATCACTGCCCTCATAAGGGTGACGACGAAGATTTCCACAGCGAGACTGCTACTCCGTTTCCTCCTGCTACTACTGCCACTACTGCTACTGCTACTGAGCTGCTACTACTGCTGCTACTACTACTGCTACTGCTACCATAACAACAACTACAACAACCACTACTACTACTACTACTACTACTACTACTACTACTACTACTACTACTACTACTACTACTACTACTACTACACTAGTACTAGTACTAGTAGTTGTAGTAGCTGTAGTGGTAGTAGTGGTAGTAGTGGTAGTAGCAGTAGTAATAGTATCTAGGCGGCCCAAAGCCATTCCCCCAAATGAGGGTGCTGATTCATCTTTGGGTGCCGCCTGAAGGTCTTGGTGTTGGCCACCTTCCACTTCGTAGTTGCTTTAACTTAGGCTTGAGATTTGACGTTGAGGCGAGTTTTACCCTGCTGATGAACTAGATGCTGCGACAGTAATCGAAGTCGCTTGAAAGGAACATTTCGCTCGGATACTCAATGGTCAGTTTCACTCACTGATCAACTAGATGTTGCGACAGACTCAAAGTCGGTACGAGAGGAACACTTCGTTCAGATACTCCGCGATGGTGTCCTTAGAGGGCTTGCCGCGATGGTTCCGAAGGATGATCCGCGACAATGAAATTGCCCCTGGACGATGCAAGCTGACTACATGTCAGCACGGTGCCTGAACCGCCCTTTCGACGTGCTTCAGATGCATAGTTAGACGGGCCATGTGGGCCTGGCCTCCCATGACGGCCTTGGTCGCGGTTTCAGCGCTGGGCTACCCAGGCAGCACGCTGGCGTGTGTGAGGTAGCACGCTGGGCTGTGAGGTAGCACGCTGGCTGGTGAGGTGGCACGCTGGCTGGTGAGAACGCAGGTCGGGTAATGGTTTGGGCACCACTGCGGGCTAGGCTCGGACCTGTGAGCTCTCGGATGCTCTGCGATCCACGTCTCCTCCGCCATTGCCTTTCGGGGCGACAGTCCTTCCACCTCGTCGTTGCGTTGCGGACTCAAGCCGCCACCTCCGCGCCGAGTCGGCACGTAAAAGTGAAGCAGCACGTTCCATTCCGGGAATGCAGTAACGTCAGGGCGGAAGATTAGTGTAAGAGTAAAAGTCCGTTTAGGGGTTTAATGTGCAGCCGTCAGTGCCACCTCGATTTTGGGTTCCGCCTCGAGGTTACAGCGTCCGTCACCAACTTACCCTGAGCTTTGAGGCTGCACGCAGCGACTGTCGAATGGTTGAGGCAGCACGCTCTTGCTCCCCGAATGCTCGAGGCAGCACGCTCCTGCTCCCCGAGTGGTTCAGGCAGCACGCAGTCGTCCGCAAAACTGCCCGGAACCCCGCTCCCCTTTCTATTTTCTCTTTACGAGCACCTCCCCAAAAACAGGCCCACCAAATCCCAACCCCGACCCCAGAGCCCATGCAGGGCCCTTGTTCGTGCTTCTGAGGGATCAGAACGCCCAAGGCGTCACGGCAGCCAAATGCCCACTGCCACTACATCTCAAGCACGTCGAAAGGGCGGTTCAGGCACCGTGCTGACATGTAGTCAGCTTGCATCGTCCAGGGGCAACGTCATTGTCGCGGATCATCCTTCGGAACCATCGCGGCAACCCCTCTAAGGACACCATCGCGGAGTATCTGAACGAAGTGTTCCTCTCGTACCGACTTTGAGTCTGTCGCAACATCTAGTTGATCAGTAGGGTGAAACTGACCATTGAGTATCCGAGCGAAATGTTCCTTTCAAGCGACTTCGATTGCTGTCGCAGCATCTAGTTCATCAGCAGGGTAAAACTCGCCTCAACGTCAAATCTCAAGCCTAAGTTAAAGCAACTACGAAGTGGAAGGTGGCCAACACCAAGACCTTCAGGCGGCACCCAAAGATGAATCAGCACCCTCATTTGGGGGAATGGCTTTGGGCCGCCTAGATAGTAGTAGTAGTAGTAGTAGTAGTAGTAGTAGTCGTAGTAGTAGTCGTAGTAGTAGTAGTAGCAGTAGTAGCAGGAGTAGTAGTAGTAGTAGCAGTCGTCGTAGTCGTAGTAGTAGTAGTAGTAGTAGCAGTAGTAGCAGTAGTAGCAGTAGTAGTAGTAGTAGTAGTAGTAGTAGTAGTAGTAGTAGTAGTAGTAGTAGTAGTAGTAGTAGTAGTAGTAACAGCAGTAGTAGTAGTAGTAGTAGTAGTAGTAGTAGTAGTAGTAGTAGTAGTAGTAGTATATAGTAGTAGTGCTGCTACCGCTGCAGTTTGGAGTCTTGGGGATGGCGGTGACACTAATGACATCGCGCAGCAGAGTTTTTCGATGAGCAGCTGACAGGTCAACAAGCAATACTCGCAGAAGTGTTCTGTTAAGTTTATGTGCAAATGTTTTTCCTCGGAATCAAAGTCATAGCCTCCCCTAAACCCCTAAACCCTAAACCGTGGTCTTTATTACTGATCGTCTGAAGTTATCACGCCCTGCCTCGCACCGTGTGCATATGACCGCCCGGTTGACGACCCCAGAGACCCAATGATCCTTTTAACATCGACTTTACGGTCGATGGTTCAGGGGCTGAAAGGATGAATCTTGCTGGGTCCGGGTTTCAGGCTTGTGGAGATTTCGCCCGTGTTCATCAGCAAGTATACCAGTCCAACCCGAAGCTTTAGAACCCCTGAACACTCGGTTTCCGGTTTCAACCCGCATCAGCCGAGGTGGAGACTTGGCTTTCAGTGGTCCAAGACGCGGTCTCGGACTGCTGGCAGAATTCAGTCTTTTGAATGACCATAACCGGCGTTCCAAAGACAGGGTTCTGAATGTTATCAACTGTCAACTGTGCGGCTTCGCAAGGCTGGAG